GGCATGGGATAGAGCTATGGGTGGCTTGTCCAGGGGAGGTGGTGGGGGTGGAGAGGGGGGCGTTGCTCCCCACCACTGCATGCACTCCTGGGCAAGGCATGGGGGGCATGTGCCCCACCAGATTTGTGCACAGGGTGGAGGCTGGCTTCCTGCTACGGGCTCAGGGCCAGGGGCTGCGTCAGCTTCATGCTGGCGAGGGGTAGAGGGCTGGGAGTGGGGCAGGCTCATCTGTGTGTGGTGGGGAGTGGCGACAGTGCTGTGAGGGGTGGTTGCAGAGAATTTTGGGGTGGCTATAGCCTCCAAGCTTCCCCCAAAGCCACCCTTGCTCAGGCACTCTGTTTTGTTGCCTTTCCCTTGGGAGCCCTGTGTCAAGAGGCAGGTTAGGGGCATGTGGCTGGCGCGGGGCTCCCGAGGGAAAGGCAGCAGAGTGGAATGCCCTGGGCAGGGGTGGCGCTAGGAGGGAGCTTGTGGGGGCTATAGCCACATCAAATTTGCCCTAGCCCTCCCGTAGCCATCCGTCCCAGCACTACTTTTGCCTGCCTTGCACAGCTGAGGCTGGCACTGCCCCTGACCTTGAGCCCGCAATGGGCAGCCTGTCTTCACCCTATGCACAGATTTGGGGGGGGGCACATCCCCCCCATACCTTCCCCTGGGGTGCTTGCAGTGGTGGGGAAGCCGCTCCTGCTCTCCCATCCCCCCATTCCCTCTGGATGAGCTGTTCATGGCTCCATCCCACTCCCGACCCTAGGGTCCCATTCACTGCTGTGGCTGGGCAGCCGCTGCCCCACTCCCTCCCTCCCTCCCCGCATGGGCTTTGATCTGCCTCCCCCATGTTCCTCCCTACCACAGACTTCAAGAGCAGGACACTGCTCTTGAAGCTGCCAGGCTGCATTCCTGGCCACGTGCATGCATGTGGCTGTGTTTACCCAAGCGGCCTTTATTGGTGGCATTAGTGAATGCTACATTGGCCAAAAAAAAGCTGATAGCTGATAATGTTAATTTTCCTTTTATTGGTGCTGATCCAATATGGGATGGATATATCAATGCACCTCTATAGGGAATTCTCCTGCATGAAATCTTAACTCTGTTGGAACTCTAGGAATTCTGGCATTGGCCTCAGTAAGTTAAGATTTCACTGCCTGAGCTTAGATGGCTAACACAAGGCCTAAACACCATTTATGTTTCACTTTAAGCTCTGTTTAAAGGATCCAAAGAGAGATTTAGCCTTCTGTCTCTGTAGGGGCATTGTTCTGTTTTTGTGTACATCTGAGTGTTATTTCCATGTTAAACTGACAGCGGTAGCAGTCCTTAGTGGACTTCATGGAGTTGCTGGCATTATTCCCTCTGCTTGGGGTAGGGTTTTTGTTTTTTATTTTTGATTAAATTGATTATGATGTGGACCGCATGGATGTGAGGGAGGTGTGATGGAATGTTTTTTTCCTTTGCCGATGGCATGCACAGGATCTGATGCTCGAAGGTGAAGCTAAAGAGAAAGTAGTTTCCACTGAGATGTAGTTTCCTAGTTGTTGGGGGAGGTTGAACACTGAAATGGATTCTGCTATGTAGGAGTAGGCTACGGTAGTAGTTGTGGGTTCCTGGAGCACTTCTGAGGAGGCACTTTATAATAAAAATTAAAGCATATTTGGTCTAGATGTGAAGTTAAGTAAGACTAGGCTAGGTAGCTATGATGACCCTTTTTGGGCTATGTTTTCTTCCCATCTTTATCTGCCTTCCTGTGGAGCTTTCTGTACTGTATTCTTATATAATAAAGGGGTCTGTCTGTCTGTCTGTCTGTCTGTCTGTGATGTTCTTGGAGCACTGTGATTGGTTACTGAAACATTCAATCAGAGTGTTCCGGACAGGAGGTGGCAGTGCGGTGGAGCGCCGCCATGATGGAGGGGATGGAGAGGGAGGCACTGGCCTCGCCCCCTCCCCCCCCCGTCCTGCACCCTGGAAACAGTGGCAATGGGGGCAGACAGAGTGGGAGGGGCAGCGCAGGCTCTGGCAGACCGCCTGTGATGGAGTACAAATGGTGGCCCTTTACAGGTGCCCTGCCCCCTGGTCAGACAGCCCCATGTGGTCTGCGAGCACCTGCACCAGGGAGCGGTGGGCGAGGGGCTGCTTTTCCCCATGCTCAGCACCAGCTTCCTCCCTGCTGGTGAGCAGGGGGTCAGGGCTCTGCGCTGCCCCCTGCCTGTACCGCAGGGCTGGGAGGCACTAGGTATGAGTGGGCAGGAACATGGGGCCTGCACCAGTGTCCTGGGGCTAGTGCCAGCAGGGCTCAGAGCAGGGTGGCAGGAGCGCGGGGTCCCAGCCGTCAGGGGCTCTATGAAGCCGGGTCAGCTCCCTCCTCTCCCTGCTGGTGCAGCCCAGCCCAGCTACACAGACCCCTGCTAGCCTGTGCCTTGCTTTGGACCCCACTGGTGCTGGCCCTGGGATATTGGTCCCAAGATGGTGACCAGGGGGCAGGGCACCTGTAAAGGGGCAGGGCTACTCATGCAGCCCTCAACAGCCTGCCAAAATTGGGCAAGCGGCCCTCCACCCGAAATAATTGCCCGCCCTTGATCTAGTACCTGTATCAACAGGTACTAGCTAACCGTGCAGTAGACTAATGTACTATGCAGTAAATGCTAAGTACATGTAAATGGTGACACTTTACTGTGTAGTAGAATAGTCTACTGAGTAAAGCATCTCGTGTAGATGCACCTTCTAGGGGTCAGGAATAATCCTGCCCCCCCAAAGGCATAACTTTTCTTCTTTTTCTTTCTTCACCTTCCTCCAAAGCTTCAGAAGTTGCCCACAGTTAGACAGCAGATTGGCAGGGCTAATGCTTCCATCAGTCTTGAGAAATCTTCTTTTGCCTAGATGGAGTGTCTTGCTAACCAGCTTAATGCTAGACCAGCAGTTTTCAACTTTTTAAAATAAGAGTACCCATTCTGACTCAATTTCAACTCCTGTACCCCCTTATATTTTTTTGCTTGTTTTTTTAAGGGGGAGAGGTAGATTGAGGCCCCTGTGGTGAGGGAGGGAGTGGGACTGGGGTAGGTGCTGTACAGCCAAGGTGGGGTGGACACGGAACAGGGCTGCAAGTGGCTTCACTGGAGGTCATGGAGTGGGGGAGCAGATCCTGCTGCTGCGCGTACTCCGGGAGGGCATGAGGGGGTGTATATCCCTGGATCTGTGTGCAGGGCGGGCTGGGACCAGGGTAGTGCCAGGCTCTTCCCAGTGGGGAGGGGCCAAGATGGGCTGTACTTGGGGCAAGCTGTCAGCGGGCCTACAGGAGGGGCTGCAGCCACTCCAGAATTCACTGTATCCTTCCCAGCGCCACCGCCACCCTGCCCGAGCGCAGCACAGCTCAGGCCCCCCTCTAGGAAGAGCTCGGCACAGCCCCAGCCCACAGTGGCAGCCCACACAGATCCAGGAGCATGCGCTTCCGTGCCCTCACAGGGGTGCACGTAGTGGTGGTGCTGTGGGGGGTCTCGCACATGACAGTCGCCGGTGCCGTCGCCACTCACCGCCCCACACCGCCACCGTCACCACCACTTGCCCCCATGCCTGCGCCGCTTTCCACTGCGGGTTGCTGATGGGCCTCACACCCAGCCAATCGTGCGTTGCTTGTCAGCAGCCCACAGAGCTGCATGTGTGACTGGCCATGGGAAAGTGACACAGGCACAGCAGCAGCATGGGGCAGTGGGTGGCGACAGTAGCAGTGGCCGCACATGCGAGCCCCCGAGTCTGGCTGGCCGGGTGGCACCTGTACGGCCTGCAGGGGGGCGCCACTGCCCTCGCCCCCTTGGCCCTGCTCCTGGAAGTGGGCACAGAAGCACACTCCCCTCCCCTCCGCCATTCAGACCCTTTCTGCTTTCCAGGAAAGGGGTCGGGGAGGTACTGTGGTGTGGTGCGCTGTGTGGAGCCAGCGGTGTCTGGTGTGCTCCTCCTCCTTCTCCCCCAGGTAAGAGGCGAACTGTGGGAACACACTGGGGGAGACACCAACACCACGCGCTTCATTCCCACCCACCTGCACGTACCCCCTACGGCCTTTATACCCTGGGGGTATGCATACTCCCGGCTGACAACTCTTGTGCTAGACTAATTGCCAGATATGGGGTCCAGGAGGAATTAATCTCCACATCAGATTGGCAGGGATTGTGTAAAAGGCAAAGGAGTCTTTCATTTTACAAATCAGTCTTTCTTGGAAAGTAAGAAAAGTTTCAAGAATTTTTGCAGTAAATAGAACCATTCTTTAGTGAATATAGACACTTTCCAAAATTGCAGTAATTTGAGTTAAACTACCATCCAAACCTCACAGGCTTTTCATGCAAAATTAAACAGATATTTAAATCAACAAAATTTTGCATTTTAAGTCCTTGCTTCTGTTGAGATGATTTCCACTAATATAAAACAAACATTTTAACTGAAAAAAATCAATGAATGTGATGTTACATGGGCTAAGGGAGCTGTAATGCTTTAGTTCTACAGAAATAGTTAAAGCACTTTAACTTAAGGGAGTGTAGGCAAGCCCTTAGGGATCAAATGGACTCTTGAAAATGAGATTAGCTGCTTTTGAAAGTGTTGCGCATTGTCTCTTTATTATGCTTATTTTATGACCATGGGTGTCTGAGCTTCATTTAGCCTTTTTTTTTTTTTTTATTCCACAAAGGGAATCCTGCTTGACATTATATGGGGCTCATGGGCCATTTAGTATAGGGTCTTTAATCTCTTGTGTCATTTTACACTACCTGGCACAGAAAACAAAATAATTCATTTGCCACCATATGACTCCCAGAGGTGATCCCTAATGTTCAGTGTTTGGGCACACAGGTCTGGCAAACCCCACTTGGCCTTAGTGAAGAGGTACACAGAGGAAACAAATTGCACAGAGGAAACAAATCCAAACAACAGCACTTCTGATGGCAATCAGAGGAGGATGTCAAGGGCTAAATGAGCATGGAGTTTCTCTAGTGAAATCAGTGGGGCATATCAGAAGAATTGGACCACCATATCACTCCCAGAGGTGATCTCTAACATTCAGAGTCTGGACACACAGGCAGACAGCAAGAAAAGGTGCGTCCTATCATTTGGTATAGTAACAGTGTGTGCAGTCTTAGAACCTAGTTAAACACTACCTGTTCTGTGCGTATGGCTTTTGTTTTCCAGGGCTATTGATTCAGCATCTTTCACGAGCATCAAAGTATTTTTCTGAGAGAGGGATCTTTTAAAATATAAGATTGCAAGACAAGTCATATGTTCAGTCTAGGCTACATAAGCTTTTGTTGAAAAAGCTTAGAGATAATCAGAACCCCTGAAGGATGCACTCGCTGTTTCTTGGTTTAAGCTCTGGTAAACACAGAGCATTGCTATTTATCTCCTGCTGCAGCAGCAATAGACAGGCTCAGCTTTCTTTGTCTTTTCTTACAGATTTCTCTCTTTCTCTGTGCCGCATATGAATTGAAAAGGCTTTAGAACACACTTGAATTTGCCTTAAAAATCCTCCTGCAAAAATCTTTCTTTTAGCAGATTTCCATTTATTAGAATTTTCTCTTTTCCTTTGCCCCCCTCTCCCAAGACAGGTTCCTGAGGTAATAAAACCTTTTCAGCCTGTGAAGTCGCCTTAATAGTCCTCCTTTCTTGACTGTCTTTTTAGTTAATTTTCAATTCACTTAGGTATATTGCATCCCTCTGTGTGTGTTCCCAGGAGATGCTAGACTGTAACCTCTTACACTACAGTTCAAGGGCTTTCAGAAAATGTATGTGGGGTAAATTAGGCAAGACGGAAACTAACTAATGCTAATTCATTCACAAAGGTTGTATTATCCAGCCACTCTACCTTGTTTAAAGAATAGAAGCACCTTATACCAGGGTTCCAGATGATATTAATATTCCCAGCATGAAGGACCTTAATTGCATGGAATATATCTGAGCAAATCTCCCCTCATTGCAGTGCGCAAGCTCCAGGAATGGAAAGGTCAGAGCTAGTGGAATCAAAATATGTCTTTCTAATTTTACTAGCATAAGTTCCTTAAAAATCCAATCAAACTGCCAAAATAGGGTACAAATGGAGAAGGCCATACCAGATGCCTGTTAAAGCTGTTATCTGCTCTAGCTATTGTTGGATGTTTTGTACTGAGATTTGCTGGAGAGGAAGAGATGGGCATACATGTAAACCCAGATTTTCTCCAATGCTGAGATCTAGTGATGGCTTCTTGATACTCTAGGCTGATCCATGCCTAGCATAATGGGAGCAACCTAAGGGCTGCTGTAGTTTCTGCTTGCTGTTAAAGGGCCCAAGGAACCCTGTGATCCAGCCCAATTACCTTTCTGCCCCTTGACCCATACTCAATGACAAGATGGGGCTTAGTGGACTGCTGTGCCAGCTCTGTGATAAATGAGAAGTCCTCCATAACAAAATAAATCCCTGGAAGCTAGATCTGGCTCCTTAATTCTTTTTACTTCTAGAGCAGTGGTGCTCAACTGTTTGTTTTTGTGCATCAGATGAATGGTGCAGGATTGGTCCGCAGGTTGGATTAGACCCTGTGTGCCAGGTACAGGGCCCAGGATCCCTGCCCAGTTCCAGGTGCCATGATCAAGACTCTGGGGCCCTGCACCACCTCCATCCAGCCGCACATGCCAGAATTGGGGCTCCGTGACCTCATGCTGCCTCTCTCTGGCCCTGGGCACCGGTATTGTACCCACACTGCTCTGCACCCCCTTCTAGCATGCAGAACCATGGCCTGAAGGGTTCCGCATGGACCTGTGGGGAGTTTCATGGGCCAGATGACCTAGAGTTGTAGGCTGGATCTGGCCTGTGGACCAGGGGCTGAACACCCTTGTTCTAGAACAACACATACAGGCCAGAATGCAGGAGAGAACCTGACAGGTTAGGCACATACTTTTTGGAAAGTAACTTATTGTCTTACACACAGCGATGGTGATCACTAAGCTTGGGGGAATAGCCACAACAATACATATTTATGATGACATTGCAATGGTGCTAGTCTATAAATAGGCAAAGCAATATTCTTCTGAAGGACCCTTGTGTATTGTCTTATAATGTAATCAGTTGCTTAACACATACGATTCAAATCCTTCCTGAAATGGTTTGTGGTGCTCCACTTGGACTTATTGGGACCAAAGACAGGTCGTAAATTACAGAGCAGCCCAATTATTACTGGGTTGGGTTTGCTACGATCTGAGGGAAAATATTAGAGGGCTTTTTTCTAGTGAACCAGCAAGATTCTTGCAACATGACAATTGCAAGAAAGGTGCTGACTGTTTCCTGGGGCAAGATTTCAGTAATAGTAATACATTTCTTTGTCCTTAACCGATCACTGAAAATCTCAAGTGCCATTTAGAGCAGAAGTAATTCATGCCATGTACTATCTTAAGGATAGAACTATGTGAATAACTTCATGTTAAGTTCACTTTTGATGCTGAAACAACTAGAGGCCAGATTCTATTCCACCTATTAGGCATCTAAGTGGACTTCATTGCCTCAGTACAATCCCATTCTACCCTGTTCAAGTTTCTGAAAGTCAATTAATGCCTCCACTTTTGCAACACACTGTCATCTTTTCCTTAAAACTGATGGGAGAGGCAAGGATTTCCTAGGATAACTATTATTGGACTGTATCCCAACTATACAATTGGTCCAACATAAGATATCATGCTAGGAAATCCTTGCCTCTTGTATAATTTCTGGACCATCATGACTTCAGTATTGCTCTTATAGTATTTTAAAGGTGAATCGCAGAAAACCAGCGAGGAGGAGCATGCATAAGTCCACTTATGTCCCAGCAGGCAGAGTAGAATCTGACTGTCAGGGGAAAAAATTTTCAGGTTGATCTGGAATGAAACATTTTCAAAGTTTTCAGAAAATCAAAATTTAATTTCAGGGCACTTAAGATTTGATCCAACATTTATTTTCTTTTCATCATTGAATCTTTTCTAAGGTTTTGAATTTTCTTTTCAATAAAACAATGGTAAATTCAAAGCAAAAAGTAATTTTGAATCAAAATCTTGATATTTCAGGTTTGTTCAGAATGTTTTTGTGGTGTGCACTTCAATCAAAACAATTCAGAGGATCAAACAAGAATTAATTCACAACATGGTTTGGGCAACCTGAATCCATATTTATCAAATTTAAAAAATGTCCAAAAATTGCCTAGCTCTAGTCAGGAGTTGGAAAGAACTACTCTGACAACCTCCACCACTCAATGCCTGGTCACCCCTGTCCCAGACGAGGCTGGTAATATGGAGCCTATTTTTGTGCAGATTAATTGGCACCATCCTCTGAAATATTTGAAGAGAATGAGGCTGCCGAAGCTGGCTCTCACCTCCTATATATGCCTCAAGAAAGCCCACAGAGCTTTAGCTACTGGGTAATTTAAATGGACGAGCCTCTCTGGAATCAAGGTGCTGAGTGGAGGGTGTTGTAGCTCTCCTAAACTGCTGCTATTTCTCTGCATGGTTAGAGGTAGGGTGAGAGAAGCTGAATTTCCACTTCTTCCGTTTCTTTGGACTGTCCCACGGGAGGGTGTGCAATAGGCAAGTGGTACTTCTGTGACTGCTACTGCTTTTTGTTTATACTGCTGCCCAGCGCTGTTCTGTGAAGTCATGTGAATTCTTTCACTTGGCTGTTTGATGCGTAAAACATTTCAACAGCGTATGCTTTCCCCACATTAGAGTTATGATCTTTCTCCATAGAATATGTGCAGTGAAAAGATTAAACATCTCAGAGCTGGCTGTTACAAGGCTACATTTAATTAAAACAATAGCAGTCCAAAGTAATGCTAAGCAACAAGGATTTTGTAGTTTAATGTACTAATTTATATTAGGTCAAAAGCACTATGCAAGTGGGGCCCAGTCCTGCCATGTTAATTCTGTAGGGCTTGCTTCTCTTGGAGTCAGTAGTTTTGCCAGAGTGAGTTTTAGTGTCCCGTTGGCGAGGCTGTGTTTTACCAGGAAGATCTCATCGTATCAGTAGTTGCTTCCAATTTACTGCTACTTTGAAATGTGAAGGTGAAACTCATATTTGGCCTGAAATCTCCTTGATTCAAAACCATTTTGGGCACAGCTAGGGTAGAAATTTCTGGGTTAGGTTGTGATCTCACACCTTGCTCTGGGTAGGGAAAAGTGCATAGTAGCAATAGCCAAGGAGCAAAGTAGGAACAAAATTGGTCACAATTGGATCAGTGCTTTATGAGGGAAGTAATACATGTCAGGCCTGTACCTGGTGAACACTGAGTAGCATTCATAACTTCTGGGCCATTCCAAGTGCCCCACAACACTTGTTTGAAGATTGTAATATGACAGTCTACCTCCTTATGTAATGTTCCTTTTTTTTTCTCTGCTTGTTAATGTGAGCACTTCATAATGTACATCAGATTCTCCAGGTTGTATCAAAAGCAGGACTTGCAATCAAGTGTAATTTATGTTCCACGTTTGTCTTTTTCAGCTCAGTAAAGTTTTGGACAGTGCAACCCCGAGCGGTGTGATGAGAGATGGCTTTAGGAAACAACACCCAGCGAAGTTATTCCATCATCCCGTGCTTCATCTTTGTCGAAGTAAGTGCTAGCGTACCAAGCCAACAATTAAACTGGCTGAACTCTGTGATTATGAGAGGTAACCAGTTAGAGCAACTGTAAAATAAGTCTTGTTTTGGTAAAGAAAGGAAAATGACTAGAATTGTATTAGTCATATGCAAATACAACTTTCCAGTTTAATAAAGCATAATGGCTAACGACTAGATTGTGTCTGTCTGAGATTCCATTCCAACGGTGGGGTGTTGGCAAGTAGTAGTCCTCCTAGCCATTACAGTGCTACCTGGGTTAGTCAGACCTTGCATCCAGGTGCACAAGAATGAACAGATGGTACAGTCTTAAATATACATGAGTAGAGAATGAACAAAGCATTAGCCCCATTTGCATTTGTGGTCTACCACAGCTGAGGTAAGAAGGAGGTTCAACAGTCACTGGTGGTGTAGTCCAACAGGAATTGGCTACTAAAATCTCTCTCTTGAGCCAAGATGAAATGGGTGAGGAATTGCTATATATAAAGGTGTTGCTGAGACATGGTGCAGCATAGGAAATGCATTCAGGCCTTTGGATAAAGTCACAGTTTAGCTCTAATCAGCCTGTAGACTTGGTGGCTAACTCTTTAAGTCAGGAGGCATTTACTCAAGTGAATGATCCCATGCAAGTCAGGCAAGGGCCTTTTACTATTTAAACAAGAGAGTGGAATTGGGAAATGTTCCCTCACATGACATAAATGCTACTTCATTCATTACCCATCTAGGGAGAAATCCAATCAGATCCTTTGTTGGCTGGGGATAGAGTTTTTCTATCCATCTAGTTGGTTCTTAGGTGCTGATTTTATTTACTCTAGTGAGTTTGTGCGTCCTGCAGTGACCAAAGTAAACAAGCAAACACAAGCATCTCTAGAAAGAGTCCTCCTAACCTTGGGAATGGATCTGGTTTGTTTTTGTTTTTTGCAAGGCAACTTGCCACCTACAGTTGTTTGATCCTTAATATCCATGCCTTCCATTGTCCCTGAATTGTGAAATAAATATCATGGACTGAATTATGACTAGGTCTGTGATGGTTCCCAAAGGAGACAGGGGCATACCACCGGTCTAGGTAGAAGGCCTATTGTCTGAGTCCTTGTCATCCGTGGGTCTGAGCAAGCTCCTACTGAAATCCAATGGCAAGACTTGAAACTCTAGTAGAGGTTGGATCAGGTCTGTGGAAAGCAAAGACTTCATAGATGGCTGTGTCCTCAGGGGGAATCAAGAGTGCACAGAAGAGTATGGGATTGTAGCAAGTGCCTCTCTAGCCTCATTCATCCATATTTCCCTCTGCACTGTGCCATCTGTGTTAGGGTAGTACTCCTTTAGTCACATGCACTTTCATACACTGGTGCCCCAGAACCACAGTCCAGTTCCAGATGGGTCTGATCCAAGGAGCAGTGAAGTTGGTGAGTGCCTCTCTTTTTGCCTTGAATGGATGTTGGTCAAGCTCTCTAAGAAAAGGAATCTTAATACTCATTGAAGATTACGGCTATGTGCAAATCAACCCTGCCTTCTGCATGGAATACAGTCACTTAGATTTTAGGGCTGATTAATCAAATACAATGGAAAGACTTGACAAAATCATTAGAGAACTGTAGTACTAGATCCTAGCTTGCCCAACTATGGTAGAAAACTCTGTCTAGTGAATGCTTACAGGTAGCTAACCTTCAGTTTGTGTGTTACAGTGCTCCTGAAGGGTTTATTGTTAGCATAATCCCCAGTTTTACAAGGAGTAGGCCTCTGTTTCCAGGAGAAACTAGGAGTTAAGCTAACAAGCAGGAAGGAGAGCCATCTTTCACCAATACATTCATCCCTTCCACTATTCTATTCGAAGCGTCCTTTTAAAAAAAGAGCGGGGAAGGGGAGGTCTCGGAAATAAGATGTTTTAAATTTATAGCCTGAAAGAACCATCACCTGCAGATTTTTAGCTCTCTAAATGTGTGAATGATGAGTCTGCTTGGTAGCACTGCAGACAGAGTTATAAATTGGCCTTCCTGTAGTCAAGACTGACATGGACATAAAAATAAATCAAGTGCCAGTAGGAAAGGAAGAGCATTGTTCATTGTTCAAGCATACTTTCCCTGTCCTTCTGCATGCTAGACATGATAACGATAGTCAATTTTTATTTAAGAAGCAAAGCCAGAGAAGCATTGTTTCCAGTGGATGTTTCCTGCTTTGACACTGGCTTAGACTGGGTCTTGTTATAATCTACTGTACATCTTTTTCTAGGTATCTGTTTGTCTTTCTGTAAAGTGATATGGATTTTCAGTTCCAACCTTGCAGAATTGGACTTTGAAGGCTCTTTCCATTTATCCCTGGTATTATAACTGTAAATGGCAAATGGAGTGTAATTTCCCACAGGGAAGGCAGAGACTATTGACATCAGCCCACTCATTGTTAGAAGTCACCATATCTCTTAATAAGCCCCACTGAAAGCATTTTGCCTTTCAAGCTGCAGTGAGTCTGCTGCTGACAGGAGACTTTTTTTCAGTGGAAATTCATTGGACTACTCCAACTAGCCAGTCCTATGCTAGATGGCCTTTGTAGGCTTGGTGTCTCCAAAAGGGAAGCAAAAAGGTACCCTTAATCGATAGGAGCTGGCTGGCTGCATGATGCTGCTTTCCAGCTGCTGAGTCAACACCAAGGACAGGTACAAACTCACTGCATGCTCTCATGATAACATGCTGCATGTTAAAAATTACTGTTGTATCAATGGGGTTGTTAAGTGATTGCAGATGGGAGGATGGCTGGCCTGCAGTTATTTATATTTTGGTAGTCCCTACACAGCCCCCTTGACCCTGGTATTAGAAATCCATGTAGCAATGGGCTCTCCTTCGTCTGAGGAGGATATGATTGGATCACGAAGTCCAGTCTCCCTCAGTCAATGGCAACCATGTAGTAGATGTGCGGGCTGGGAGTGACCCGAACCCTTTTCCGTGCTGCATGCGGGCTGTGACCAGCAGCCCGGGCACGCCGGGTCGGAGAGGGAAGGCCGTCGAGCTGGAATTAGGCACAAACGCTTAGCAGTAGTTTAAAAGATTGTTTACTTACACCGAGATGGCAGTGGTGTAGGCTGGAAAACTTGCTTGAGTTGCAGTTACAGACAGACAACACAGACGGTTTCGTGGAGGTTGCTAGGCTCCACGGAACAGAGCTCCGGATGCTCTGGGTGAACGAGCGACCAAAATCAGAATCGTAGATACGTCTTATAAAAGTTGCGCTCGAAGACGGGAAGAGGTGGGCGATGGATCAGGTCGCCAAACTCCTCTGAATCTCGCACAGGGTTTCTATTACCCTGCCGTGTACCCAGAGTCCCCACGAGATGGATGTGGAGTCCTCTTGGGCTTGGGCGGAAACCGCTCAAGCCTCTTATACGGCTAACAGGCCAATCGCTAGCCGCCATGTGGGAATAATTTAAAACTAGCCAATAGCGGGGAACGAATTTGCATACCGGTGGCGGGAACTCTTTTGCACCGTGCATTCCTCTTGCAACTTGAGCAATGCACTCTGCAAAAGAAGCTGCAGAAAAGGCGGGAAACTCGTCCCTGCACCGGGGTTTTCCTCTGCAACAGGAAACTCTTCCATGCAATGAAGCTGCAACTTGGCGGGGATAATTTTGGTGCCGAAGCACACACAAAATCATGCCTTTGGGTCATAACAGTAGACACTACATCTAAGGCATGCGTTTTCAACCTTTTTTGGTTGAGGTACCCCCGGTGGCCGGTCAACGAGTGGCGGGGAGGTCCTCCACACAGCAGCGAAACTGGAAGTGCCACCAACTTCTCCGCGCCACTGCCATGTACCCCCCTGGGGCCTTCCAAAGGACCCCCAGGGGTACATGTACCCCTGGTTGAAAACCCCTGATCTGAGGGGTACAACCAGTTCTGACCTGCCCAGCCATAAAGAACCCCATGCCCACCTTATATGACCTTTTTTTTATAAAAGACCAAGAGCTATAAAGACTGCAGTATGCCATAGGAAGAGAGACGAAGGCCACCTTGCATGCCTTGAGCTTACAGTCCAAACAGGCAACATAGACAGTGGGGAAAACAGAGCTGAAGTGATTTGTCCAGGGTCATGTATCAGGTCAGTGGTAGTCAGGAATACAACCCGTTTCCTGGGTCCTAATTCCTAGTCTTTTTCTCTGAAACCCAGTGCCTCTCCCATTAATCTCTGAGTTAGATGAGGCCCATCCACCAAAATGTTTGAGACACTTGCCCTAATGCAAAAACTGATTTTCACTTCATAGATCAGCTCTCTTAAAGCTTCATGCAGCAGATCTTTGGTAACAGATAAGCTACTATTCAATATGCTGCCTCATTTAAGGGAACTTAAAATAGAATTTGATAACAGCAATGGAGAACAGTAGACATAAACAGTTTTGACATTTTAAATATCATCAGGCATTGATCTGTGAAGATTTGACAGTTTCATAATTTCTGTGGTTATTCATACATTCATTTTCTCAATCTCATTTTTCTCCACTCAGCTAACTTCTTTTAGCATTCCAGTTTTATAAAGCCTGACCTGAAGATGAATGGTACAGTGTAAGAACTTATGCTCCATACTAGACTTTTCTAACATCTTTTTTTATATTAAGAATTTGAACTTTTTTCATAATGTAGAAGTAACATGCAGTACTTAATATAAAATGACAGAAATGATAAATTAATATTTCCATTCCCAATTAGAAAAGCCATGTCACATTAAAAGCTGATTTGAAACCTAAATAAAGATTCATTAAAATCATTTTCAGTCACTTATCAAATGCGTATCTGTATTAAAAAAAAGTTCCAGGTAGTTTATCTTGCTTGATCCTTTTTGTTGCACCTTATCAGGTCTCATTTTGTTCTGCCAAGCAGCATAGTATTTATTTCTGAATATTGTATGTCGGGTACCCTGTAACAATGATAGGTTAGGGTATTCCCTTGGTGGTCTGTGTGAGGAACTGTGGCTATGGTTGTTGAGCCCCAGCTCAAGTCTGGGATCGTGCCCGGT